AATTGGGTTAATATGCGTAAACATTTGGTATCACCAGTATTTTTCTCATAAATACTATCAAAAGAACGTAGTTTAGTTTTAGTTTTTTGTTAGTTTACCTATTATTTGACTACTGTATTAACAAAATTAATACATAATTTTATCTTACTTTAAAAGACAGATAATGTAACTGGTAAAAAATCACTACATAGTATAAAACAAAGTCGCTTTCTCTGTCCCTATATCCCTATGTATGCTTAAATCTTTAAAACTACGCAACGGATTTTGATGCGGTTTTTTTTAATAGATAGAGTGACTGAACAGGAAGGTTTGTATGTATAATAACATCCATTAAATAGTGGAGAAATCAATAATAAATTACAGTTTCCTAAGCGAAGCGAGGGCGGGTCGCTAGTAAAAAATAAATGTGCAAAGATGATTAATATTAAAAATATTACATGTTAAACCTTCAAAACACGCTCCTGTAAAATTAGTAAGTTTTGAGATTATACAGTTTTTATGCGAGAAGACGTTTTGGCTTTATAAGCTTGTTTTCTATGTAAGTAATGTATGTTTTACTGGTGGTAGGACCACTTGTGAGTCCGAGCGGGTAGGTACCACCGCCCTGCCGTGAAGCAGTAATGCGTTTCGGCTTGAAGGGTGGGGCAGCCGTTGTAACTATACTTGAGACCTTAAAACTCATATCTCGAGGTGGGTGGCCCATTTACGTTGTAGATGTCTATGGGCACCAGTAACCACTTAACACCAGGTGGGCTGTGAGCTCGTCCACCCATCTGAGCAATAAAAAAAATCGTAATTATTATCAGTTTTATGAACACAATAATGATACTTAAAGACATGTCCTTCTTCAAACGAGTTTTGCGGAGAGTACTTAACGGTAGATAGCGGCTTGGCTCTGACCCTGGCATTGCTGACGTCCATGGGCGACGGTAACCACTCACCATCAGGTGGGTCGTATGCTAGTCTGCTTACAAGGGCAATAAAAAAAATCGAGTTTTTTAAAAGAAAACGTATAAAATTTATAGCTTAGATCGGTGAAAGAACTGGCGGTAAGTGGTTATCTGAGTCCATGGACATCACGATGCGTGCCCAACAGCTACAGCTCGCTATCTGTGGGCTCAAGTGACCACTTAACATCTCTAGGGCCGTGCGCTCGTCTACTAATATGGTGAAATTAAAATACTGTAATCGTGAAGTACCAGGAACGCATAAGTAACCAGGCAATTAATTCGAACGGAGCGCAACGTAATGTGTAGCGAGAAGTCGGTAAAACCCAAACGGAATCGGCGAGGCGGAAAAGCGTCTTTTGCGAGAAAACGAGATAAAAGATCTGTATATACAAAAAAAAAAAGAGACAAAAGTTTGTGTGTCGAATTCGTCAATGCTATTAAGAATCCATCAAGAGGGATATTTTCTTTATATAAAACTAGCTGGAAGACAGTTGACATAGCTTGTAATGTAGTTACTAGAAGAAAGAATTCATACTACTTTTTTAAATAGAGCGTTTTTGATTATAAATGTACCAAATTCGCGCGTCGCGGGTCGCGTTTCCTATCCGGTGGTAGATTCTGCAACACCGTCAGTCCCGTGAGCTCACCTACTGATTCGATGAATCTAGAATAACCCTTCGACTGCCTTCGAGGTTAATAGAATAGATAGGAAACAAAAAAAAACATACAAGAGAAATTTGATATAAAGATGAAAAATTAAGAAAACCACAATGCTACACATCGCAAGAGATGTTTCACTCCCGTCACGTGCACCAAATTAGACAAGCACCATTTTTTATTGCTCAGATGTGTAGAGGAGCTCATTGCGCATCTCGCGTTAAGTGGTTACCGGAGCCCATAGACATCAAAAACGCAAATACAGCCTCAAATCTTGAGACAAAAGTTCCAGGTCTCAGTTTTTACAGTACAACGGCTCCCACATCCTTCAAACTGGAACGCATTAGTGCTTATTGGTGGAAATAAGCAGGGTTGTGGTACCTACCCGTGCGGACTCGCAGGACGCCCAACCATTGGTAACATTTTGATTGTTATTCGTGGAAAATTACAACTATAGATATGTCCATATTCGAGTGTTGTATGTTGTGAAAATCGGAGAAAAGTTTTACCATCATCAGTACACTGCTGGATATAGACCTCTCGCAATCCACGCCATTGAGACAGATCTTCGGTTCTCCTTATCATCATCGGCTACCTTTCCACCGTGGGTGGAGGATTGGAGGGCCCAATCGCATGAGCGTGGTCTCCACCCAAGAACCCAACTGTTCCAGCGACAATATGTCCAGCGCATTGCTTCTTACTGCTCGCCGAATCTCATAGAATGGAAACCTTAAGTTTTCTGTAGAATCACCCCCTATTTAGGTCCTAAGAGAAGTTCCAGGCGAAGTTCTTTTCATAGCTTGCTTGAGCGCTCTTGAGAAATAATAGTAGCCATACTTTGAGTATCTATATCTCATAACCAATAAGACGCGCTGGTAGACCCCGGACACTTAAAACTAGATGGGAGAGAGAAAAAGAGGAGAGAGAGAAAGAAAGAGAGAGAGAGAACATACTTTATTGCACACCAAAACACAATTAACATTAGAAAACGGTCAACAAGCAAATACGTTTTGTACATGGGCTGTGAGCTCATTTACTGATAAGCAAAAAAAACTAGTCTAATCAACATAACGTGTGGAAGTTTTCCTGAAGACATCTTAGGCACAAATGACGTCAGCAGAAGAATAAACATATTCCCACGTTACATGACATCTTAAACTTACAGTCAAATAGGACAAAACTAGCCAACTTATCAATTAAAAATAGAAAAAGAAATAAGTGAAGTCAAAGCAAGTTACTAGGCCATCATAAAAGGGTGGGCGTATATCTACAAGTAGAGAAAGAGACAAACATATACGTTTTAGTATTGGTGCGAAAGAGACGACAATGGTTATTAAGGATTGCGCTTCGAAGCTTGAAAGGAAAAGGATGTACGCCAACACTTTATATCTTTATTACATTTTTTTATCTCAATTATTTATTGCATTAGATAAAAATCCTCCAATGGCTTCGTGGTGACGGTCTAAAATTCTAGACTCAAGTTCGATCCTAGATAACGACTTAGTTTTTATTTTATTTTAAGCAATCATTATTATACTTATCTTTTATAATTAAAATAAAATTTGAAAAAAATATATTCCTTTTTTTTTGTTTTTAGAAGAAAATATTTTATGAAATGTTTACGCCAATATCTTTTCAGATGCTAAAGTTCGCACGGAACTCTATAAGAAACCTGTAGCTTTCAAATACGGTGTATAGAATTTTCTATCTTATGCCACTCAAAAATAAAGCTATATTTCCATGACATATAAAGGTTTAAGGAAAATAGACTTTGTCTTTTGAATTATAGAGTTAATATTGAATTGACTACGATTTTAGATTGGATTTCATAGTCCAATTTATCTAGACACATACAGCCTCTGACAAGACTAGAGAATCGTGCGGATTTCGGTTCACCTCACAATAACCTGGGTACTAGAGTTCCTGGACATCAACATTTATTAGGAGCTTAACGAATTTTTTTGTTGGAATAAAAAGTACATATTTACAATAATGTTTTGGCTCGCCCTCTCTTTTCCACGGGTTCAGGTTACCACTTAACATCAGACGGGCTGTGAACTCGTTAACTCACACCAAAAGTCGGGCCACACTTATTATCGTAAGGAAGACGCTGGTCATGTCATGAAAATTTCCATGAATAAACTGGTATTAATATAGAGGTCATTTTAAGATGGTATTTATAAGCGCTACACGTATAGAATGAATGTTGGCTTTGTTATCTGTCTCGCTCTGAATTAACTGAAAAATAAAGCGATCGAGCGAGACAGACAAATGGCATTGAAACCACAGTACAAAAGCAACAGTAGGATTAGTATTCAATCTTGTTAAATGTTGACTTCAAGCGAACTTTTTTAAGGCTTTTTCGCCCACGTCTCATTCTCATCGTAGTAAATCCTATCCAGCCAGCTCCTACTGCGACCACGTGGAGACTGATGAGCATCAAAGAGGCCGAAGAAAATTCTTCACCGTCTTCAGATTTATCAAAATACCTTATTTTGTATTTCATTTTTAACGTAATAATGTTATATAAATTGATAAAGACCGAATGCACGCACAAAAGAGTGTCGCGTTCCGCCCGAGCCTGATCGTGCAAGCGAGAACGCGCTACCAGCGATAGAGAGGCACGATCGTCCCAAGCGTTGGCTTGTGACACATTTATCTCTCTTCTCGCGTGACGTCAGAGCTAGCATTTCGAATAGTTACACTACTGACGTTATCACGTAAAACTATCGTCCGTAAACCGACTTTACAGACAACCAGTATTTTTTATTACTAGCATGGGTTTCAATTCGCTCGTGGTGGTGGTAACCGGAGCCCATAGACTCCTATAGAGCCCACAACCCACCTCGAGACAGGAGTTTTAAAGCTCAGTTTTTACAGTACAACGGCTGCCCCACCCTTCAAACCGAAACGCATTACTGCTTCACGGAATAAATGGGCGGGGCGGTGGTACCTACCCGTGCGGACTCACAAGAGGTCCTACCACCAGTAATTAATTGATGTTATATCACTACTGACATTCCGAGAATACTGTGCAGTTTGTGTATTAGCGAACGCGCATTTAAATATACCGTAGACATCCGCGAAAACCGAAGCAAATACTACAGCTTAATACACAGAGAAATTCAAAATGAAATTTAAGCAATTTTTCGGCTATTTTTGGGTTATAACTCTTGCTATGAGTGACGGTGACCACCTAACATCAGGTCAGCCGTACGCACGTTTGCTTACTGTATAAAAAAATACACAAATAAAAGATATTTAAATATTATTGTGTCACTGAATACACTTTACTGTGTACACGCATCGGACTATAGATGTCAGATCCTGATTTTTTTAAGAAGCCCCCGTCGAGAGTAAGTCAGTTGCTCGGTGGCTACGGCGGGAGGTGGACGCGTGTCGAACACACGAGAGCGTGAACTAAAAATCCACTGAGAGCAATGAATTATCAAGAACTCGCGTCCAAACACATTTAAAACGTGAGTATGTTTCGATTTACTAACTTTTACTTTTGATAAACAGGTTTTCGATCCGTTATACTTACGTTTTTACTGGTGGTAGGACGTCTTGTGAGTCCGCACGGGTAGGTACCACCACCCCGCCTATTTCTGCCGTGAAGCAGTAATGCGTTTCGGTTTGAAGGGTGGGGTAGCCGTTGTAACTATACTTGAGACTTTAGAACTTATATCTCAAGGTGGGTGGCGCATGTACGTTGTAGATGTCTATGGGCTCCAGTAACCACTTAACACCAGGTGGGCTGTGAGCTCGTCCAACCACCTAAGCAAAAAAAATACTAGCGTTATGAGGTCACTTGAGACATGAGGTCCAAGTTTCGACCGCGTAGGTACACTAGCTTACTAAATGCATTGTGGAGTTCAGCTACACGATTGCGAACATCCATCCCCAGACGGGATGTACTGCCAGTTTATTCCAAGACAAATGCACACACGTAATTCGTCATGATAAAAGATCATCTTGTCCATAGACATCAGCATTGTTAAGGGCAAACCCAACGCATTGGCTACTACTGGAAGCTCTCAAGCCTCGTTTGAAGTCAAAGGACTTAGGAGACATCGCAGAGTTCATACCAAAGCAGGACGGTGCATGAAGGTCTCTGGAAACGCACTATTCTTAGACATGGTTCTAGATAGTAGGGTTGTAACACGGAGCAAAGCAATGTGGGGGATAGTGCGATAGTAAAAACGAAATGACGGGATCATCTCACACAATTCCTCGGAGCACTCCCCATGGAGTATACGGTACAAAGCATAGAAATAGCCGAAGTCCTCCGTAGACCCAAAAGGTTCCAAATCACCCGTGAGATTATCGGCAATCGATACGGCCCTCTGTAGAGTCAAATGGCGGATCTGCATTTCGTATAAAAATACCNGGGAGACAGAGCGATAGTAAAAACGAAATGACGGGATCATCTCACACAATTCCTCGGAGCACTCCCCATGGAGTATACGGTACAAAGCATAGAAATAGCCGAAGTCCTCCGTAGACCCAAAAGGTTCCAAATCACCCGTGAGATTATCGGCAATCGATACGGCCCTCTGTAGAGTCAAATGGCGGATCTGCATTTCGTATAAAAATACCTTTGCCGAGCCGTGAATAGATCCTGATGAGGGCTACCAGCGTTTTAGGGGTCCACCTAGCTTTATCTTAATGGTCCGGTATTGAGGTTAATCAAAGAGAATCAAATTGTCTTGGAATTTTGAAGGCATATTCCTTGAAATTAGGGAACTACGATACAGGAGCCCTTCGCAATGAACGCCCAACCCATTTTCAAAGGGTTGATTCGAAGCAAATTCAATTCAAATTATTGAATGATCTGCCTTAGAGAGTCCTCCATTTGAGATACGATTTTCGAAATTCTGATGGCCCGTATGTTAGCACCTTGGCTGCGACAAATACAAATCGTAAACCTTCATTTGGTGCGGCGGCGGGTCGAAAAGCTCCCTCAACGATATTTCCAGTAGTGTGTGGCGAGTCTTACTCAACCCACCAGCGTTAGAGTTGAATAAACCGTTCTAACTTTGCGAAAACATACTGTATACAGCTTATAGTATACAGTAGTCGGGGTCGGACTCTTATAAACGCCTTAAATAATCGGCCTGTACATGGGAGAGAGCCTGCCGGTATGGGCCAGTTTCGCAGTGAAGGTGTTAAGCATGCCCCTTGTGATCCTCTTTTTTTTTCTACCTAAGCTGATGGTTTTGAGAGACCATTTTAGCGTAACGTTAACGAGTAGGCGAGCTCACGGGGCTCAAATCTGACGTCGTTGCTAACACTGGCCCTAGCAAGAGCAGTGTTTCGCAGAATCTACCACCGGATCGGAAACGCGACGCACTGAGAAGATCCGGCGAGAAACTCAGTGGGCTGCGTCTGTGGGTTAGTTTACTCGNTTTCTACCTAAGCTGATGGTTTTGAGAGACCATTTTAGCGTAACGTTAACGAGTAGGCGAGCTCACGGGGCTCAAATCTGACGTCGTTGCTAACACTGGCCCTAGCAAGAGCAGTGTTTCGCAGAATCTACCACCGGATCGGAAACGCGACGCACTGAGAAGATCCGGCGAGAAACTCAGTGGGCTGCGTCTGTGGGTTAGTTTACTCGTCGAACCCTTCGTCGCAAGCGACGGGTTTGACGAGAACAATGACCGGTGCTTGAGGTACCTAAAAGCACCGTTAGTGGATCGGGAGGATCCGTAATGACGTGTTTTGGGCGACGTCGACTGTTTACCATTCGGTCTGTAGGATCGGTAATGTAGCTAACGGCGGCCACGATGAGAGGGTGCCGTGTCGTGCCGGTTTCTCGGTGTGATCCTCTGCTTATCGTGTATACTATAGAAAAACAGTGTGTCACTGGTATGCGTGAGAGACAAGACCGGTCCTTGCCGAATGCCAGCTTTAGGTGTTCCTTTAGCTGTATCTATCATACAACCGAATATAATTGACAGAGGCCTGCAGTGCGTTAACAACATTTCCACCGTCGTCGGTCTACGGACCAATTTCTCCAGTCCGATGGAATATCTTCCTTTTTTTCGATTACTAAAGTTCCAAAAAGTTGTCATAGTATTTTTTTTTATTGCTTAGATGGGTGGACGAGGTCACAGTACCTTAAGTGCTTAAGTGGTTACCGGAGCCCATAGACATCTACAACGTAAATGCGCCTCCCACCTTGAGATATAACTTCTAAAGTCTCAGTATAGTTACAACGGCTGCCCTGCCCTTCAAACCGAAAGGCATTATTGCTTCACGGCAGAAATAGGCAGGGTGGTGGCAACTACCCGCGCGGACTCACAAGAGGTCCTTTTTTTTCCGGGCCGGGGGCCGAACCTCCTACGAGGTCCCCGCGCATACGGGGCGCGCGGGGTATGTGAGACTCAACGATCTGCATGGTGTTGTGAGCAGACCGCGGGCCCAAGGATTTTAGGGCCCACCCACTAAACGACTCCCCTGCACTCTTACACCCGACGTCCGATCCTCTCCTACCATCAATGTCGTCTTAATCTGATATGATATGATGATCTCTATAACACAAATCGAATTTATCTTAAACTAGTAGCCCGCTCCGGCTCCGCTCGAGTCTTTAACAAAAATTTCAACGATAAATGACTTTATTTTATTTTTTTAAATTAAAGAACACTTATTGCGGCATAGCTATTATATTATTATAGTACAGACATATTATGCTGTCGCGACACTTTTTGTAGATAATGCTCTACAAAGTTGTAGTACATTATTTTATTCTATCATCAATAATTTTCGCAGGGCATTTTAGCTATTTTTTTTACACCTTGGGTTACATTATTGGAGTTTTTGTAAAAAAAAGGGTGCGTTTACTTATGTACGCGCGTAAGAAGTTATACTTAATTTTTATTAAATTTATTTCTTTTTTTTTAATTTAAATTTTAATCAATTTGAAAAAAAATCGATTAAACAACATCCTCAAACACGCATATTGGACATCCCTTTTCTTGACATCGTATAAATTCGGTAATTCTCGGTACGGTTCGGAAAGTTCACCCGCGGCTATATTCAGACTCGCCAAGTTACGTCAGTCGTATTGTAATGAGCGATTTAGTGGGCAACTTCATTCTGTTAATTTTGTGTCGCGGTGCGCGCGCTTCGTGAAACTTCACTCTCATCAATTTTTCATAACGCGCCTAAAGAAGTATAACTTAAAAAAAAAGAATATAGCCTATGTCACTCGGGAATAGTGTAGCTTCCAAACAGTGAAAGAATTTTTCAAATCGCTTCTGTAGTTTCGGAGCCTATACAATACAAACAAACAAATCTTCCTCTTTATAATATTAGTATAGATTACGGTTCGAAATAATTATCGATTTGGTTTATTAAAAACGTCAAAAGGTCCACAGGGAAATTGGCTAAAGACGCTTATCCTTTTACAATCTTTTCATCTTTTTATACGCTTCGTTTTAAATCGACGACCAGAGGGAGAACTTTGGCATTATCATTAACTAGTCCCTTAGCACAGAAAGTCTGGCTTTAAAGCTAAGTACATAATTAACGACATAATTTAGAAATCCCTGTCTTATAGGTACCAGAGATCCATAAACATACTTATCTATAATCTTATAATCTATAAATATAAATAAAATTGTAGTGTCTGTTTGTAATATTGAAATAACCGCTTTTTACTACATGCATATGAATATCGACGCTTGAAAGGCAAATGTGACTAAGCGACAATGCGTGAACTTTACAGTAGACTAATTTAAAGTTGAAATACCTGAAAACAAAATTTATTAAACGAATCTAGCTGTAGTAGAATCTAGCTAGTAGCTGTAGGATTGAAATGATTTTAATAGATCTAGAAATATATTTTTTTGCGCATCGAATATGGTTATTGCCTATCATTTATGTTCAAAGCTTATTGTCGCTTAGTCACGTTTGCCTTTCAAGCGTCGATATATTATATATGGCACATACACCAAAATAGCATTTTTTACAATTTTTATCTGTCTGTCTTTCTGTCTGTCTGTTTGTCCCGGCTAATCTCTGGAACGGCTGGACCGATTTTGACGGAACTTTCACTGATAGGTAGCTGATGATATAAGGAGTAACTTTGGCTACTTTTTTTAGACTAACTTCGCCCCGCGGCTTCACCCGCGGTACGACGGGACATAACATCGCGGGACTCAGCTATCAATAATAAAATTTAATGTTTCCGAAGCGAAGTGAGGGGGGGTCGCTAGTATATAATACGTTTAAATATACACATATATAGATAATAAACGCTTAGACAAGATCAAACAAACTTTTTTATCATACAACGTTTTGGCCGATGCGGGATCGAAACCATTACCCTCCGCGCAAGAGTCAAGGCCGCTAACCACTGCACCACCGGGTCAGTCAGACTAAAGAATGTTACTGTGACATACATATTAAGTCTTTATCTACAACATTTTTTTTCCTATCTATTCTAGTAACCTCGATGATCACTTCATGATCATTTATTGATGATCACTTTGTTGGTGCAAGTAAATAAATAAATTAATTAAAACCAAGCAGTGGCAACCCTAGCAAATTTCTCTATTAACACTAATTTCGTCCCCATTAACCGCAATTTCTGGGTAAATAGGGATTACATATATTTTGGCTTTTTTTTGCTTAAACTGGAATGCTAGTTGCATAGCAAACTTTATAATAACGTACAAATAATTACATATTTTTTTATCATTCATTGACCACGATCTGGGAGCGTTCGTTTGCGCAATACACTAACTCTTATGCAAACAACCCTGAATGAAGTGTACCACTATAAGTTCGCACGTTACGGAATTACCCCGGGGGGTTTGCGAAATCTCCAGTTTTATTTTCTTTATACCTCGTCGAATAGAACTTATAAATAATATTTTTATAATAAGGAACTTCGTTCCTATCCGGTGTCCCACGACATCACACTTTTTATTTATTTTTTATTGCTTAGATGGGTGGACGAGCTCACAGCCCACCTGGTGCTAAGTGGTTACTGGAGCCCATAGACATCTACAACATAAATGCGCCACCCACCTTGAGATATAAGTTCTAAGGTCTCAGTATAGTTACAACGGCTGCCGCATCCTTCAAACCGAAACGCATTACTGCTTCACGACAGAAATAGGCGGAGTGGTGGTACCTACCCGTGCGGACTCACAAGACGTCCTGCCACTAGTAAGTATTCTTCTTTATATTCTAGAATATTCTTTATTTCTTCACCTTCCAACGCGTTCGTTGCCTTTGCAATAAGATGACTTTATTTAATGAAAGATAAACCGAAAAATCAATTAATCGACACAATACCAAATTAAAATTAAAAGCCATAATTATCCGACTTAAAACCAAACAAAAGATGTGATTATGAATCGAGCGACGGAACAAGATGGCCGGCCGTAACGGAAATGAGACGCTAACGACCCGAGCGCGCAATATGGCGCCGGTTCCGGTTGGGCTGGCACCGGTTTTCGTTTACGTATTATTTAAACGATTATAACGATGGACGCTGTCATTATAAATATCGGTTATTAATCAGACTGATATTGCCTTTTAAGTAATTGGCGATTACTACTTTTTTCTGGCTTACGCGGATTAAGTGTTTGGCGCAGCTCATGGACATCATTGCCCCGCCTATTTCTGCCGTGAAGCAGTAATGCGTTTCGGTTTGAAGGGCGGGGCAGCCGATGTAACTATACTGAGACCTTAGAACTTATATCTCAAGGTGTGTGGCGCATTGTAGATGTCTATGGGCCCCAGTAACCACTTAACACCAGGTGGGCTGTGAGATCGTCCACCCACATAAGCTATAAAAAAATAACCCTAATCACCCCATTTTACAGACTTCTATAATATTACAATCCTCTTCTTTATATTTTGGCTCCGGCACGGTTTTTGCATTAGCCAGCGTCAAGTAATAAGATTTTTATAATTCGCGCGCTTTAATTATTTACAGTTTTGAATAATATAAAAAACGAAGGAAACCCAAATTAATCAACTGAAATGATATGGGATGAAATATAATATCAGTAAAATGGTGGCTATTTACTGAGACTTTTTCTGTAGACTTTTGGAGGATCCCGAGAAGCTATGTCCAGCGACTTCGTTTCATTTCCCCACATTTGTGCACTTTCACAGATATTAAACAGTTAATAAACCACCGTTATTACACATTTAAACCCGAAGAAACACTAAATAGATAAAATAAAACAAATCACACAACTTCACTCTTCGCGTTCCCGACAAAAAAGAATGTGAGCCGTCACGGGACGCCTGGCAGATGTGAAACATCGACATTCTTTTGTAAAAGTAATATGCAGAAAAGAACAGATCGTGATAGGAACTAAATATGTCATAATGATAAAATAAAATATTACGAAAAAATAATTTGTTTTCAAGTAAAACACAGGTTATGTGTACTGTAGTAAACAACACTGTATACACTACGGAGTATACACTATAGGTATCCGAGCTCAGTGTAGCGAGAGAGATGGGTTAACGCCGGATCGAGTGGGAGAGAATCGCACAGTCGATTGCGCATGGCGTCGCCACACCGTATACACTACTGCATCATCATCATCATCATCAGCCTTTATCAACCCACTGCTGGACATAGGCCTTCCCCAATGCCTTCCACATAATGCGGTCCTCCGCCTTCCGCATCCAACGACTTCCCGCCGTGCGCACTAAGTCGTCAGTCCACCTGGTTGGAGGACACTACTGCATATAGACTGTATATATACCATACCATCATATAGCGTGGCGACGCGTCGCCACGGCATGTGTCGCCACGCCAGAAATCGGTTTTACGTCGACTATAGATGTTTCACATAAAAAAAACCACAAAAATAAGTTAAGCATTTTGTTTCGACCGGATTCTCATGGAGTTGGAGCGCTGAAATAATATAGGGAAAAAATTTCCTCAAAAGATCATCTACAAGATTGGTCTGAGGTAATTTTTTTGTAAAATGTATAAAGAAAAAGTTATAGAGCAAAAAAGAAATATTGTTTAAAAAATTCTCACTTTTTTGCTTATAACTTCTTAAATTTTTAATTTAGGGCAAAAAGTTATATAAACATGTTTGTAGGCAAAACAATTTGCTACAAATTATGACTTTACAAATTTTTTGTGAGTCGCATAGTTTCCGAGATATTGGGATAAAAGTGTTTTCACCCCTTTTTCCGAGATGGCGGCCGGGGGACAAGGGTGACGACCCTACAAACTTGAGGTAAAGCTTCTATAGACCCCCCACACATGCCCCAAAAATAAAATTGCGTCCTCTAAGAAATGCAATATTTGGTCCTTAAATTGTAATATTTCAATGGACGGAAATTTCATACATCTCCGCGCAATTTTCGTAAAAATGCTCGCTCTTTAGGATTTCATTTAATATGTGTACTAATATCGGTGCAATGGTGTCTTTGTTTTCCATAAGAAATTCGTTGATGATGCCATCAGAACCAGAAACTTTATCTTTCTTTTGTGTTGATATCGCTTTTTGTACCTCTGCCAGCATTATTAGTGGTACTTCTTCCTGTCCAGATAAATCTATTTTTGGTGTAGTGATTTGGCTTGAGTATAAATTTTTAAAGAAGTCGGTTGCTGTTGTAGTAATTACAACATCCCTAGAATAGTCGAGAATATTCCACACATCTCTAGTAGTAGTTTCCGCTATCTGACAATAGATGGCGTTGTACTTCTCGAGCGTTGTAAGCCCTTCGATATTCGTTCGACTATTCGGCGATAGACGGCGTTACACTTACCGGCGTAGCAATATCATAGTTTATGAACAGAGCGTTTGAAAGGTCTTACAGCCATACCTCTTACATACATACCATTTGGCTCTGGAATTAGGTCTTCCCCTCCAGGTATCTCCTAAGTCAACGGTAGACAGCGACTAGACCCAACCCCTGGCACCACTGACTTCCATTGGTGACGGTAGCCCAGCACCTGGTTTGGCAGTAAAAAAAAAAACAATTAAATCGCTTGGTCTGTTATAGATCAATCATTCATCATGGGTGTCGCGTCGGACGGCTTCAGTAGCAGGTGGCGTGCCAAGATAGCAGCGTGCAGGGAGTCCAGGAAGCTGGTGCTGATCATAGTGGCGATAGCTCTGCTCCTGGACAATATGCTGTTGACCACAGTCGGTGAGTTACAAGTTATAGAGATAATTCGACAAATCGCTAGATGACGTGACGTGAGATCGGAATCTCAGTTCGGTTCAGTTCTCAGTTTTTTACTGGTGGTAGGACCTCTTGTGAGTCCGCGCGGGTAGGTACCACCACGCTGCCTATTTCTGCCGTGAAGCAGCAATGCGTTTCGGTTTGAAAGGTGGGGCAGCCGTTGTAACTGTACTTGAGACCTTAGAACTTATATCTCAAGGTGGGTGGCGCATCTGCGTTGTAGATGTCTATGGGCTCCAGTAACCACTTAACACCAGATGGGCTGTGAGCTCGTCCACACAATTAAGCAATAAAAAAAGTTAAAGATCTCACATAAGGCAGTTAGATCAGTTCAAGACTGCTACCGATTGCCGTTAATCGGTTCAGTAGTTATAACGGAACATCCGTAAAAACCACTGTAGATATTAGTATAGATTCGATAATTATTGGTATAAGGAAATTGAGTTAAAAAATATATATAAAAAAAACAAATATGGAGGCACGTCTCAATTAAAACCAATTTCTTATAGTCATATATGTATTATTGTTGATATTATTGTTGCTGATGATTGTTACATTTTTTATTTAATTTTTTGTTGCTTAGATGGCTGGAGGACCTGGTGATAAGTGGTTACCGGAGCACATAGACATCTACAACTTAAATGCCGCCACCCACCTTGAGATATGAGTTCTAAGTTCTTAGTATAGTTACAATAGCTACCCCACCGTTCAAACCGAAACGCATTACTGCTTCACGTCAGAAATAGGCAGGGCGGTGTTACCTACCCGTGCGGACTCACAAGACGTCCTACCACCAGTAATTACGAAAAATATAATTTTGCGGGTACATTTATTTCAGAGTTTTTGTTACCTTTTACATTTACGTCGATAGTCGAATATTTTGCTAATTTACTTAGCTTTTAAGTAGTTTCGTTTCTAAAAGTCGCGGATACAGCAGGAAACCGTTATAAAAATAATAATTTATATGTGAATTTATACGTCGGTCGGCCATTTTGTTATGGCCGCTTGCAAGAAACAAGATGGCGCCCGCAATCACTTGGAGTGCTTCATTTACAATTCATTAGACGTCCTTCGATTTTTCCACTTGTAACGACCCGACGGGGTGGAATAGGAATCGTGAAGTCATCGAATAAAAATATTGTTAATCAGATAAATCTAAGAAAGATAATAAAGGATAATAATATCGAGATGTTTGTTTTACAGCGACATTTCCCTTAGCACGCGACATTTATCTTTGTAATTAAAGGTCCGTTTTATTTGATGCTTGCGTCCCGCCCCGATTTCTCTTGGGTATTTAACAAATATTTCAAAATAATAAATTCTAATTGTTAGATTAAATAAATAACACTAAGTTATACTTTGTATTTATTTAATATTTAATATAGATGAAAATACAATGCGGTGGATGTCACGGAGTAGAGAGAGAAGTAGTGCCATAGATTATATACCATCTCATATTCACATTGAGTTATAAGGCGCCAAATTTAAAATTATTTCAACACTTCTCCTCAATTTAAGCCTTAACAATAAAAGTAAATACTATTGTATTATATTAAGACAATTATTAAACCAATGAATTATATGAACACATTCCAAGTTTAGATCTTAAGAAAGCAAATTTATCTCTACATAATGCTTTGGTAAATATATCTGCATACTGATTGTCTGTACCTACAAACTCTAATGCAATTATCTTTTGATGATACTTTTCTTTAATAAAATGATATCTAACTTCAATGTGTTTACATCGTTTGTGGAAGTTTATATTTTTAATGACACTTATAGCACTTTGATTGTCCAAATGAAGAGTCATTGAATTTTGTTTATATTCACTGATGTCACTTAAAAACTGTTTAATCCACATTGTCTCTTTAGTAGCAGCACAAGCAGCAATGAACTCTGCTTCAGTAGTAGACAGGGCTACTGTCTGTTGTCTTTGACTAGACCAAGTTATAGCTGCTCCANCAGAATGGAAAGCAGTCGACGTCGCCCAAAACACGTCATCTCGGATCCTCCCGATCCACTAACGGTGCTTTTAGGTACTTCAAGCACCGGTCACCGTTCTCGTCGAACCCGTCGCTTGCGACGAAGGGCTCGACGAGTAAATTAACCCACAGACACAGCCCACTGAGTTTCTCGCCGGATCTTCTCAGTGGGTCGCGTTTCTGATTCGGTGGTAGATTCTGCGAAACACGGCTCTTGCTAGAGTTCATGTTAGTAACGTCTTCAGGCTTGAGCCCCGTGAGCTCACCTACTCGTGCGATGACGCTGATATGTTCTCTCAAAACCATCAGCTTAGGTAGGAAAAAAAAGCACTTATCTAAAATAGAAGCACTTTTATTGAAGGTTCGATAATTATTGGCTTAAGGATATTGAGTTACGAGCTCAAAGCCCACTTGATGATAAGTGTTTACTGGAGCCCATAGACATCTACAACTTAAATGCCGCCATCTTGAGATATGAGTTCTAAGGTAGTATAGTTACAACGGCTGTCCCGCCCTTCAAGCCGAAACGCATTACTGCTTCACGGCTGAAATAGGCAAGAGGTCCTACCACCAGTAATTACGCAAATTATAATTTTGCGGGTACATTTATTTTAGAGTTTTCGTTACTTCTCACATTTACGCCGATAGTCGAAGATTGTGCTAATTTACTTAGCATTTAAGTAGTTTCGTTTCTATAAGACGCGGATACAACAGGAAATCATTGTAAAAATAATAATTTATATGTGAATTTATACGTCGGTCGGCCATTTTGTTATGGCCGCTTGCAAGAAACAAGATGGCGCCCGCAATCACTTAGAGTGCTTCATTTACAATTCATTAGACGTCCTTCGATTTTTCCACTTGTAACGACCCGATGGGGTGGGAATAGGAATCGTGAAGTCATCGAATAAAAATATTGTTAAACAGATAAATCTAAGAAAGATAATAATATCGAGGGGTGAGACTATTTGATTTAAACGACACTTCGCTTAGCACGCGACATTTATCTTTGTAATTAAAGGTCCGTTTTATTTGATGCTTGCGTCCCGCCCCGATTTCTCTCGGGTATTTAGCAAAAATTTCAAAATATAAAAATATTAATACACACACATTAACCCATCTAATTGCGATACAATACTAAAAAAAAGAAAATTTGAATATTATTATTTTTATTTTAATATATTTATTTTATTATTCATTTTATTTGTTTTTTTTTAATAAGTATTTTATTATTATTATTATTGAAATTTCGTAAAAAGGTCATACGTACAAAACACAAACCATTGAATTTATTAAGTCAGAGCTTCCATGTATTTTGCGTTGTTTTAATTTTTCTAAATAAAATAGCACTTATTCTATTTGCTACATTAGACATCTTTTTTTTTTATTTTTTTTTTATTGCTTAGGTGGGTGGACGCGCTCACGGCCCACCTGATGTTAAGTGGTTACCGGAGCCCACAGACATCTACAACGTAAATGCCGCCACCCACCTTGAGATATAAGTTCTAAGGTCTCAGTATAGTTACAACGGCTGCCGCACCCTTCAAACCGAAACGCATTACTGCATCACGGCAGAAAATAGGCGGGGGGTGGGACTTACCCGTGCGGACTCACAAGAGGTCCTACCACCAGTAAAATTTTCAAATACCAAAACAATGTTTTGTCTGTAACTTCGTAATAACAGCTAATACTTTAGATACAATTTTAAAACGGTTAAAATTATACAATTTTCGCCCACTGTACAGCGCTTTAGACGTAATATATGAGTACTTGGATCGGAGTGCCGGGGCAATTTCCCCCGTCGGCGAGATCAAAGTGAAATTCACTTAGTCGCCTCATCAAAGGCGCCGCCTTGCGCTGCTAGTGTTGGGCGCGATGTGGATGTACGGTGTATCGATATTTTAACTTTTTATCGAAATAGTGTCGCTTCACTGGTGGTGGGAGCATCAACCATTAGATTGCCTATTGTTGCCGTGAAGTTCCCGACAGACTAAAAAGGTAACTCATTAGCATAATGTAAATAATTTTAGAATGCGTATTTAGTATAACTAGTGGTCCCGCAGTAGTCGAAATTCGACTATAATTAATTGAAATTATAAGTTTTTACACTATTAAGATTTGATTTTCAAAGACTTAATATATACTTCTATAATCACAAATTTCGCCAAGACTACACTATAGAAAAATATTAATAAAGACAAACAATATTTAATCTATTCTCAATTTGACAACAGACGTCAAGAACAAAAGTTTGACAATAAATAAATAGTATGCGTGCGTGTGTCCGTCAAATACATGGTAGTGTGTGTAATGTTTTTTTTATTGATTTCATATATATTTTTAGGCATAATTTAAAAAAATATTAGCATTCTGCACTCCTTTATATTGTCTATAAGTATGGGAATTTCATACTCCTCCCTCCGCGCAATTTTCGCAAAAAGGGATACAAAGTTTTTGCTTCACGTATTAATATATAGATATATGTTGGCGCAACGTTACTATTTCCTACCTAAGATTAGTTAAAGTTCACTGTTTCTTTAATGTTGATCTTGTTGGTTAATTATTACAATTGTAACGCGTGTCAGCAATTGTTTAAGTCGATATTCAAGAGAATTCACGACTAAGCTACTCCCACTTTCATACTATAAATATGAGTGACTATTGTCGCACGAAACATTCCGGCTCGAGCAGCCGACCGGAGCGGAGCTCTCTTTTATTATTGTTGTACGCTTGGAATTCAGTAAATGGAATTCATTAGAAAAGTGAGTCTTAATAACTGTCACTATGAAAGTCAATGACAACAACGAATAGTCAGCGTCCCGACGTCATCATTTGTAATGACAACAAGGTGCCAGTCGCGCCGTCATGAATCGCTGACGTCATGACGCTGACTTTAAAAACACCATGGAATCAGCTCACTCCGTCATATATGAAAATTACTAGCCTTAAATACCTATACTAATGTAGGTTGATGCGAGT